AATTTTTTTTTTTTTTTTTTTTTTTTTTTTTTTTGTCTTTTTGTCTTTTTTCGTGACCGGCAACGGATCGCAACCCTCAGTGTCGCGCCCGTACCGGACCGGGACCGGCAACGGGATCGCAACCCTCGGTGTTGCTTCCTGCTCCTCGCTCAGCCAGTGAGCGGCCGGTCTGCATGTGGGATCCGAACCCTCGGCGGGAGCGCCGCCGCGCTTCCCAAGTGGCGCACTGTAGCAGTGCGCCACCGGGCCAGCCCCCACCTTAATCATTTTTTTAAGGGATACTGTCTTTTTCAGTAGCATGATTCTAGAATTTGCTCTTCAAAACCATTTTTATCTTTATGAGACTCTGGCAATCTTCCTCCTTACCTGAGTGATTCATATTTCTGTCTTGATTTTTTTTCTGTCTTTGAATTTGTTTACGTAGTGCTTAGTACACATACACATTCAACACTCAACAAACAGCATTCTCCCTCTGCCCTTCTCCTTGTGCCTACCCTCCACCTCCCACCCTCTGCCTGACGATGTTGGATGCCTGCTACCCCTGGTTAGGTTGCAGTGCTGGGAATGCTAGGCAAGTGGCTGCTCCACTTCTCTTTTCAACCTAGTGGGTATTAGCAGTAAAAATACTATGACGTTGGGATTGTAATGGTTGAAGGTGCTCAGAGACATGCCTTACCTACTCCTTTGTCTATGGAGTAGTGGAGGGGATACAACCACAGACTGCAGTCCCTCCAGAGCCTAGACCCTACATACTACTTAGTTACATCCTGCTGACCCTTAAATCTCAGTGCCACTTATTAAGAATTTGTGGACTTGAGTGAGTGGAATTTCTCTCTCTTGGAAATTTACTTCAAGCCATGATGAGAGTGCAGCTTGTTAGGCAAGTTAATGGTACACATTTGGTGGTTAGCGGCATGTTTAGATTACCTAGAGAAATGTTCTAAGGGAATTAGCCTAGTAGCCTATTTGTACCTACCGATACTGGTATTTATATATCCTTTATGGATCAAAGTAAACCAAATAGCAACTCTGCTAGTTCAGTATCTCAGGTCACTTTATGTCTGCTTTTCTTCATGCTGTTTTAAAATTTATCAGTCAGTTCAAAATAAGGAAGTTTTCTTTTCTTTTCTTCATGCCACATCTTTTTTACAGGCTATTTTTTTTCTGTTTTAGTAATGTAAAGTAAGTGAAGAACAGAATTTCCCTCAAGTAGGAAAGTATTTGCCAGTTTTTCTGACTTGTCTATCATTTCTTCACTGACCCAAAATACAGTAATTAGCTGATTGTAAATTGCATCAATCAGATTGTACTACAATTAAATTGGGTGGTGAATTGGCCTTTACACATTCATCTATCAATATTCTTTTAGGGATTGGTAAAACAGCTTGGAAAGGAAGCTGTTTCTGTTACCTGCACTGTACTCCTAATTATCACAGCTCTCTGAAGCTTCAACTTCAGAAATGTATAGAAGAAAAATATTTCCCTTGATAAATGAAGGTTTGCTTTATTCAATTGGTAGAGGTTTAGAGTAGAGCAAAATATTTAAAGCTTTACTATAATGGTCTGAGAGCAAACTATTTTTTTCTGAGTGATATTGAATTAAAAACTCCATCCATTTTCTGCCCGTGCAAGGCAGTGCAATTCCCTGGAAATTGATTTTTTTTCAGGGCTTACCATGGCTTTTCCCAAGCTTTAGCTATATGGAAAATAACGTCTTTATTAAATCCACTTAGTGAATAAAGTTGGCAGTTAATTTTTAAGCAACTGGGCCAATGTGTAGAAAATTACTGAATACATCAAATAGAGTCTGATTAGTCTTAGAACCATTTGACAAATAATTATTTAGGGAATTCTTTAAAAACCCTAAAACATTATTTTGTGGGCACTAACATAATTTGCCTACTATTCATAATACAAATCAGAGTAGTATTTGTGGTATAATAGTTTTTATAGGACCTTTGGAAACATGCATGCTGTTTTTTTATATTAAATTATGAAAATGACTTTATTTTATAAAAATTACATGCCTATATGTTTTCCTTTTGTGCATTATAATGTTTGACTATATGTGCATTTTAAAGTGCATTGATTTGGCACTTTTTCATCATAATATGATTTCTACCTAGTTATTGCTGTATACTAATTTACCATTTGCAAAGGAAAGCTGTATCTACTCTGAGAAAATCATAAACATTCAGTTTGTTAAGTGTTAATTATAGGGTCACCTGAGAAGTTTTCAGGGGCTGATTTATTTACAGATCATGCATTAGATTACTGAGTGTGTGTTTGTGTGTTCTCTTCCCAAGTTTGACTTTGGTTATGTGCAGTGCTATTTGGCATTGGTTATATGCAGTACTGGAGACTGTTTTCTTATCAGTATCTGACCTGACCCTTTTGAGCTATGTTATATCATTCCATTTTGACACCTTTTATCAAACTTTAATGAAATGACCCAGGCAAACAAATTGTCATTAAACTTTCCATCACTTTGTCCCTTGGTATCGTCTTTTATAAATTGGACAGCAAATGTTGTATTGATCTTCTCGTTCTTGCAGCTGAACTTGAAATGACCCAGACTGCTTGTTGTTTATGGCCCAGAGTTGCTTTTCCTTGACATTTCCATCCACAGCATGACATCCTTTTTGTTTTTCTTTCTTTCTTGTGGAGATGAATGAACAAGACATACGGTATCGAGACACCCTTGGTCATGGTAACGGAGGCACAGTCTACAAGTGAGTAGTCAATTTTGTTTAAACTTTCTATCCACTTTTGCCAAATGCGAGGTACCCAGGTTCTCTGTGGCAAAGATTTTTAAATGACCACCGGCACTTAGATTTTATTTCCACATTTGACTCCAAAATTCTGCAAGGCATCTATTTTCTCAAGAATTGCCTGCAAAGTGCATTTATATTGCCTTTTTAATATTTCTGAGTCTGCATCTCTCCTGGGTGAGCGGTTAATAGTCCACCATTAGCAAGTGTACCTTTAACTGTCCTCAAGTTTAATGCATTTTTTTCCTTCACTCTTTAGCACCATTTTTTTTTTCTTTAAATAGCACCCTATGCTAGTCTTCTGCCTATTTAGTTATGCCTATTGGAAGCCAGACCTTATAAATACCATTGCTTTGCCCTGTGTCGACGCTATAAGTTATTAAAAAGCCTTCTTCCTGTTGTATTTCCTTCTTCCCTTCCCCTACTCCCTGAGAGAATTTCTACACATTGATGAATATATTAAGTTATAAAATTCTCCCAAATTCCAGTTGCAGTGATGTTACCCTAAAGGAGCGTTCATTTTCATATTAAAAAATTCTAGCTGTAAAAAATGGTTCTCGCAACAGGGAAGTCTTTCTCATGCAGGGTTTATTCTAGAAGTGAAGAACCATAAGACACCAAACCCCAGCAGACAATTTTTATTAGAATAATATCCTAGATGTTAAACTTTAATCTTGTATTTTAAAACTTAGGTTTATTTAAAAAAAGGGGGGGGGATAATAAGGGAAGTGGGAATAACATGCTCATCCCCCAAGGAAAAATTACAACATGAAATTATGTTAATATTGTTCATTAAATTAATTATTATTTTTAATTGTGTTGAAATACACATAACATAAAATTTACCATCTTAACCATTTTTAAGTGTACAGTTCAGTGACATTAAGTACTTTTACATCATCGTGCAACTGTCAACACCATCCATCTCCAGAGCTCTTTTCATCTCCATTGTTGAGACTCTACCCATTAAACAACAACTCATTCACCCTGTTAAGGTTGTTTTTAGCCAAGAAGCGTGGATAGAACTACTCCTTTCATTAGAGCCACAATGTCCAAGGGAACGTTCTCCCACATGTCTTTAGCATAAGTTCTTTTTTTTTTCCTTTTTGTCTTTTCTCGTGACCGGGAATGGGATCGCAACCCTCAGTGTCGCGCCCGTACCGCGACCGGCAACCGGATTGCAACCCACGGTGTCGCGCCGGCACCGTGCTCAACCAGTGAGCGGACCGGTCTCTATATGGGATCCGAACCCTTGGCGGGAGCGCCACCACGCTCCCAAGCGCCGCACTCTACTGAGTGCGCCACCGGGCCGGCCCAGCATAAGTTCTTTAATTTGCTAGAATGCTGTGGTGACATTAGCAACTTACGCAAGGAGTTTATTTAGCTACCATTGCTAATATTCAATATGAGTGTTGTAAGATTTAATATGTTTTTGACAGCGGCTGCTTATGCAGGGTGAATGTCAGTATTATGGTAATTTTAGCACTTTGTTTATATAGTAGATTTCTTATGAAAGAATAAATTCCACTTATTTTATTGCCTATGTGATTCTTGAGGGGAGGAAACTTAAAGATAATACATTGCATAACCACTTGTCCTTGATCATTGGGCTTCATTTCTGCCTGGGCTTCGGCTTACGTTGTTGTTCTTATATCTCTGGCTTTTAGTTCAACACAAAGAAATGGTATAATCATCAAGAAATAAGAATCCACTTCACTAAAGTCTCTATAAAACTAAGTGTTTGATGTGTTATGATTGAGTTTCTCCTACACTGACTTTACCTTAATAGTGTTGACTATCAAAATTATGGTTTTTCAAACAAAATGATTATATTATAGGCTATGCTACATAAATGAGATGAAGAAAATATTGGAAAATTCGCTCATTGGTAACAAAACTGCCTAATGGGCCTATTTAATTTTTTTCATATAAAATGTAGTAAAGCTAATAAGTGCAAAGCAAAACTTTAATATTTTAGTCTTATTCACTCGATGAGATGTGAATTTCGAGGGATGTATCATGTGTAACTGAAATGTATATTATTTAAAACTTGATACATTTCCATTCTTCAAGTCTAGATGTTTCCCACCATTATATAATATGAAATTCTGGCCCCAGATATTTAAACCAAATGGTAATGTGGATTCCGTGTGCTTTCCCCTGCTGAGCTGTTCTTTGTATTATGTTAGTGACCTAAGCGGGTAATTTTAAATTGGTATTTTTTTTTTATTACTTATTTGGGCTGAATGGATCATAAAGGACATACCTGAGACTAAAGTATAGCCCAAGCCTAGGAAGAAGAAAAGTTTAGGAAAAGGAAGTGAATGCATTTTTATTACTCCATTTTTCAAAGTGCTACAAGTTGCTCCAAAAAGAATAAATTCAGGAAGGACACATGTTATGTTCTCTTCTGAGAAATTCACAGTGAATTTCAAGAATTTTGAGAAAGTAGAGAACAGTGTGTATTGGTGGTTAAGTGTGGGGGCTCTCAGTTTGAATCCTGCTTCTGCCACTAACTAGCTGTGTGACCTTGGGCAAGTTAGATAATGTCTCAGGTTCCCCATCTGTAAAATGGGGATAATAACAGTATTTATCTTATAAGGTTGTTCTGAGATTAAATGAGGTGATCCATAAAAGACTTAACACTGTGACTGACATTTATTTAATGTTAGCTACAGGTAATGGTAGTACTAATAACAGAAAGATTATTTAAACCCTGTACTTCCTATTCTTCTTGACCATGGAACTCTTTCTGAGGAACATCTGTATTTCGCAGAATTACAGTTGTGTTCAACTTTGAGAAATTCTGCATTTATGATATATATTATATTTCTATGTTTTCTTCTATTCTCTAGTTGTTTCATGAATAAGATTTATTATATCTTACATATAATGATTTTTTTTAAATTGCAAAGTGTTTTCTCTTTTATCATAATTTATTTTCAAATTGCTACAGGACAGCTGGTATAATGTTAAGCCCATTTTACCTCTGAAAAAACTAAGGCTTGCAGTCATGTGGCCCTTCAGTGGCAAATCCAGAACTCTACACAGCATCTCTTTTCTTTTTCTCTGCGTTTTTTTCCCTAGGCAGTGTTGTTTCTCAAGGTCAAAGAGAGTCCATTGTGTTTCCTTGTATTTCTAGTGTGCCCAGCACAGTCTTAACGATAGAATAGATGCCTGATATGTGTTGGCTGAAGTGAGAATGGGACAGGTGGAGGATTTTTCAATCAGGTTTTAGTAGAGCTCTTTAATTGGATCCTCCCCATATCTTGGTAGTTTTGGAGGCTGCAAAATGTAGAGGCTGCATAATTATTTAGAACATTCACCTGGAAGAATACGGCTTTCCAAACTAAGGACATATATTTAAATGATTGATTTTCTTTCAAATGTTAAAACTTTTGAGTACTTAGCATTCATTGACCCAACTTACTAGTTGGGTCCTCTTTTCTTGGATAGTACTTCACACTGAAAGGAAAGTAATTAACAGGCCCAGTTACTTTGGAAACACTCTGCAGTTCCATAGCTGTCATCAGACTCTGCTTCCTCCTGCACATTTTTTGATGGAGTCATTCTAGCTTTGGGTCCAGAGATGAAGTAATATTTAACTCTTAGGATTAAATTATGCTAAATCAGTTAGCCAACATTCACTGAAGTATCATCTTTTGTATTCTTTTTTGCTTAATGAAAATTATTGAAATTATTCAAGCTAATAAAAAGCTGATAACTATGAGTAATAAATTAAAAGCTGACTCAAATTATCAGCTTTTTAGCTATGTTTTCTAGTCTCCAGGTATTTGAAAACAGTAGTGAGTTTTTTATCTCCAGCTCCTTCCTAGAGTACAGGTAAGAGTCTAATCTGTACGTTGGGTAGAATTTTCTTAGTAATAGAATAGGTATCATATATACTGCCTACATGGTGTTTTGAAGACTGGATATATACCATTATTTAAGAATTAATTTGGGTACTCTGGTCAAGATGGCAGACTAAATAGTCCCCGGCATCACTCTCTCCGACAAATCAACCACTTTACAACTATATAATAAGGCAATGACAACCTGGGGCCACTAGAGCTCAGAAGAGGAAGAGGAGAGACCTACAGGGTACATGAAGGTGGGAGAAGCCACGATGAAAGAAAGAAAAAACTGCTCCAACCGTTTCGAATCCCGACCACTCCCAGGCTGGAACTGCTGAGCACACGGAGCAGGAGCTGACAAAAACCACATCTGTGCCCTTTGGATGAAGTTGCTTGGAGGCAGAAGGGGAAAAGAGGGCCTCAGGCCAGCAATACCACATAATAGGGTTCCCATAGACCCACGTAGGAGCTAGGAGCCACAACAACTGAGAAAAAGGAGCTACTCAGAGGCCAGTGAGTCATCACAAGGGACTGAAGCACATCCTGTCCTATGGGAAGTGTTTGCAGCCCAGGCAGTGGGGGAGATAGGCCAACCAGGGAACACTGGGGCACAGCAAAGACAGCTGATCTGCCACCCAGTCAGTGTAGGACCACTCAGAGGAGACTGGTCAGGAATATAGAATTGCATAGGGTGCAGTTTGATGAAAAGACTCAGGCCCAGACAAGTGTTTCTACACAACCCAGGTGCACTGGATTTCACTAGACCCGGAAGTACATATAAAGTCAACCATTAAAACCTGAGCTGCACAGAAGCCTTCCCTAGGGAATCAGTAGCAAAGCAGCAATTTAGCTCAACCACAGAGCTCAAGTTCTGGTCCTCACAGGAAGTTCCCCCATTTTAGAAGTAAGCAAAGGGCAACAAATAAGTTCCAGCGCAGAGTTTAAGTGGTGGGAACAGCAAATAATCCAACACAGAACTGAAAGAAAAAACAAAGTACCCACAACCAGACACAAGGTTTGATATTAAATAGTAAAGGTTTCATTTCACCAAGGAACACTTATAACACCTAGAAGTACCAAAAGTCCCGTGGACTACCAAGCCAGAAA